GTTTAACATATATTTCTCGTTTTATATGTATATACACAAACACATACATTACATATAAACACACATGTGGATATTGTGTAAATAAGTTCTGTTTGTGTACGTAACGTCATGTAAGATCAATGTACTCTTCTTTCGTATCATGCTCTTAGCAGATCGTAGTATGCTGCTTTTGCTTTATGAACACCTGGTCCTTCATATTATGAAATAAACGTGATCTCCAAGAATAGTTTTGTTGTATACAAAGCCAAGAAAGAAACTCAGAAGAGCTCGTAAAATAATTTTAGTGTGAAGATGATCCTTTTAATTTAGCTAAAAAGGTTTTTTTATTTTGACATAAACCGTCATGTGGGATGTACTTACCTCATTTGATTTTGAAATTTTTAAATATTTTTCTAACTTTAAATTAAATAGAAAAAAGGCAGAGTGATTACAATCGTTGTTTTTTTTTTGTTGGAGAACAGAGAGCTGAACGGGTGACGGCCCGCTGGGGATAGAAAATTAAACTATCTGTATAAATTACATTCAATTTGTGTATAGGAATGGTTGTTTTTTTATGTATGCGTGTTCTTGTGGGTTAAACCAAAAGTAATAGATTTTCATAAAAAAACTATCACCAGTCACTGATTTTCGGAATATGTGATCCTAAGCTAGAAATATTAATTCAAATTACATTACAACTTATATTCATTTCCCATGCTAGTTTTTAGAAATTCACGAAACAGAACTTAGAACAACTTGTCTATCGATATAAATGTTCCAGCTTTTAGTTGAGTTAAGTTGAGCTTAACACTTGACAAAGATGACAACAAGATAGAAGATTATGGAGTTAGCAATAAAGTGATAAACTTTTATAAAAATTAGAAGAAAGCCAAGATGAATGTAACTTTTTATTTAGTATAACTTAACATTACTAAACATGTTTTACTTACTATATTAAAAATGTAAATACATTTCTATAATGGAGAGAAATATATAAAATATTAATTAATGTTGTTGACTAAATTATCCTTCAATTCGTCTTTGGAACTCTCTTCCACTCGAAGCAAGACGTGCACCAAATATAAATTCTTTTAAAAAAATGATAAAAGAGCACTATCTTGCTTCATGAAGAAATATTGCAATTAATTATTTTATTTATTATGTAAGTATCTATAGTATGTAAATGTATATATCTATAATGTGTATGTATATTATATTATTATATAAGTATATATTTATGGAATATTTATTTATGTATCGTATATATACATATATATTGTATCTATTTTTTTTCTTTTTTTATTTATTAATTTGTACACCCCTACCATCCTATCTCTCTCCTCTACCAAAGGTTGCCTGGAAGAGATCGCTGTTTTAGCGATAAGGCCGCCTATTTGTACTTTTTCCTTTCTTTGTTTTTCTCTTGTTATTTCTGTCTATATTGGTGTACATTAAAGTGTAAATAAATAAATAAATAAATCCTTTTCTCTATTTCCTCGCCAAAATCTAATTCAATAGTGATTGATACAAACTCTTTTGAAATTCCATTATTATGACTCTATTTGCCGTTTTTGATCTCCATTAAGTTCCTTTATAATATTTCTTAAATAATTCAAAACTGACAATGTTCTTACAGTTAGATATGTTACATAGGTCATACACAGCTAAATATTGCTTACTTTGTGAGCTGGAATCTTTCATACATTTCATTTCCATTTATTTAGAACCAATATATTTGTATCACTTGACATAAGACTATTATCTGATAAAGATCTATCTAAATATATAAGATTACAGTTGTTCAAAGTCTGGTTGGGGAGGTGGCTCTTGAGGCAAGGGTTCAAAGTCTCCGAGTGTGTTGTGAGGTTCTTCGTGTCTCGGTGTTGCCAGAGGGTGGTCATATGCGTCTTTCAGGAGTTCTTGATTATGCTTTAAAAAATATGTAATATAAATTATTTGTTTATTTAATTTAAATTATATTTCTCCCCTATGAGCATAGTACACACCTGATCAGGATGTAAAACTGAAGGTGGGGCAAGATCATCTAGAGATAGCTGAGTGTTGATGACCGATGGGGGAGCGTAATCTGGGATAGCCGGCATGTTCTCCACAATCTAAAACATTAAATATATAAACAATGTTAGAATATATTATAATATAATCGCAAAACAGTATGAGTAATCACTAGTAGATACTCACAGGCTTTACTTCATCAGCAGGTTTTGGTTCTTCCCTGACGGTGTTGGCTCGTGCTAGTTCCTCAGTTAAGTACGCGCTTGTGTGTTGTGTCACGAGGAGATGAGATAGAATGTCCGTGCCTGGAGTAATATTATATTAGAACAACAAAGTTTTTCATACAGAATAGCAATATTTACGAACTGTATACATACTGTATTCTTGCGTCGCGAAAGTTAATACGTATTGTTTCTTCTTTCCCATTACTCATAATAAATCTTCGCAATAAAATCTGTTAATACTACTTGTTTAATTTAACGATGCCGTCTGGGGATTAAAATCTTAATATTTTATTAGTTACTATAGTCATTGGTTAATTGTATATTTTATATTGATCTATATATGCTGCTGGTATAACAGTTACATAAATAGTTACATATATATATATAATTTATAAAAGAAAATGAAAATATATTATATTGATTGATATCCTATAACCAGTGTAAACTGACTTATGTCTGTAGAGTATTCGCAGACGCAGTATAGCGTGGGAGCGGGTCTAGAAGCGGCCTCCAGTGAAAGTGAGCCGGCGCAATATCCACTGTGTCTCAACATCGCTCGGTAACATGATGTAGCATATGGACACTTGCTGCGACGTGCGACCGCTGTATATGGAGAATATTAAAATTATACTTTAGTATGTATTAAACATTTGGTATATTATTTATCTAATCCTTCTACATTAGAAAATATAGAAATATTAAAAAGATGATATCACAATATAATAAGGGCTACTAAAATAACATTTTTTTGTAAAAGTTAATGAGTGTTTTCAACACGATAAAGGAAAAACTACGTCTCTTTACTGACATTCAATAAATCTGATTGTATTCAATGTTTGCAGCGTCGTTTTATCAAGTGGTTATACTAACAGGAAGTGTTTGTCACTGTCAAGCGGCGTGTCACACTCGCGACACAGAAGACCCTCTTGTATGGCCAACGTGACACCTTCATACGTGTCGCTGATGGTGTGACACGCGACGTCCTTGATGGGAGGGCGGGCTTTGTTCTGAAAATAATATATTATTATATAATTGCAGTTTGTTAATTGTAGATAAATAAGTAGCAGTATATACAAGTAGCAGTAGAGTTATATGACGTACATACCTGGGGCAGGTTAATCAAGTGCTCAGTAGAACACAGAGGTAGAACCTCCTCGAACGGGTTGTGGTCTCGAATCTGATGCTCTTTCAGTTGACCTGAAAAATATTATACGTATTAATGTGTGTATTGAACTCATTTTATTGTAAATGAAACTAATATTTTTCGGATATACTATGCGACTACTTTTCAGCAGCCGTGATCACGGACAGACGAGATGTGAGCGTTTATTTTTATTGTACAGGTGATACATAATACATATATTGCATAAATTTATAAAATCTGAATGGAATAAATTCAAAGATTTAATGGTTGATTTATTTTTAAATTGTTACCTATAGATAGAATCCAAAACGATCGGTAGAACTATTTGTCTTTCTATTAAATAAAATAATATATTAACCCATATCAAAAAGACACTATAAAGATATAATAAATCAATCTGGTCTCACTCGTATGTCGCATAGTGTCTTCTAGTAGAAGTAGCCACTGTTCGACATTTGAAGTAGGGTAAAATTTGTACTTCAACTCCACGATTACACCTTCACTTGAATGCATTTGAATTATCTTTAGATCCGGTTCAAATGTTACCTGACGGTATTATATACAAAAAATTAAGAAACATTATATTAAAACTAATTATTTCTGCTTACAAACATACTATACATGAATGTTATAATTATTATAACTTAATTATTTATTACCAGAAGTAGAAATATTTGCATTACTATAAAAGAAATTTGATGCACAAAGGATATCATTCTCTTAAAAAGTGATGAATGTGGTGTAGGTATAATAAAAAGGAAGAAAGGAAAAAATTAAAATTATATCTAAGGTAAACTCACTAGTAGTTGACCATGTACCTGTAGTTGACCGCTAATGCACATAAACCGTTATAATAAGAATTCGCGGCAATTTTTAAAACTCATTCCTTATTAAGTAGTCAGATCTGCTATCTGGTCAACTAAGCGCGAAAATTGGGCATCATATCTGTAAAATATAGAAAGTGGCTGCCAGTTGTTTGTTGACTGACGGACCATAAAATCAATAAATTCGTTTGTTGTTACAATATTCGCAGTGATTGAAAAAGTTTGAAACTAAATACTAGGAACTTTGTCACCTTGTTGACGGTAAGTGTTTTTCGTTTCTTATTCGTTTATGGTTTATTTATATGACAGGGTAATTAAAATTTGAAGATTTGTTGACAATATTGAGATGTGGGGGTGGTCCATCACTGATTCCGTTTGACTGTGATTTTCTAGTAATTGACCATGGTGGTCCATTACCGAATTACCGATTGACTATGATTTTCTAGTAAATGACCATGGTGGTCAACTTTTGATTAAGTTCTGTATCTTGTAAATATGCTGCATATAATAATTAATTAAAATAAACTATTTTATTTACTTTAACAATATATTGATTTTCTTTAGTAGTTGACTAACTGTATGGTACGAATTTAAGACTATGGTCTACTTATTACTAAAACCAATTTTTCATCTTGTAGATGCCTGGGAAAAGGGGCGCATTCCTAAATTATACTGAAGCTGCAATGCTTGCAGCAGTGAACGATGTTCGTCTTCATAAAACACCAATACGAACGGCTGCAAAAAAATTTGGTGTACCAAAAATACTGAATAACGCTTACAAATAAAGTAAAAGGGAAGTCACCGATGGAACGAAAAATGGGTCCGACATCCATCCTTACACCAGAAGAGGAGCATAAAATATGCGACTGGGTGCAAAAAAATGGCAAAAGCGGGTTTTCCTGTGACAACCGAATAGTTAATTGTGAGTGTAGAGAAATACTTAAAGGAAATAAGACGTCCATGTGTCTTATTCAAGCATGGAAGACCAGGTAGAACATGGGTAAAGGCCTTCATTCGGCGAAATCCAACAATTTCCAAGAGGATATCACAAAATTTGAGAGCATCGAGAGCCAGGGTAACAGGTGATCACCTATCAGAATGGTACAAATGTGTGTATAAGGAGTTGGAAGATAGTGGCCAGGCCTAATTATTATTATTTTTCAAATAAAACGTTTTCTTTTCGTCTTATTTTTTTTTATTTAACAAATAACCCAATTAAAATTGTAGCATCTGAGTGGTCAACTACTGATGCAAAATATGGTCATCTTCTAGTTTTTAGATGGTCAACTACTAAATTTCTAACATTAGAATATTTTTAATTTTTTTTTAATTTTATTCGTTCATTGTACGTGGTGAAATACTTGTTCATATGTTAAAACACTTTTCACAGGGTTTCCCAAAAAAGAAACTTACTGAATTCGTATGATAATTAAAGTCAAACATTTAAAAAGAATATTCTGTCTCCTTAAGTGGTCATCTACTGGTACTTTTACCTTATAAGCATACAAACAAAATTCTAATACAAAAATTATAACAGTAAATTAAGATATTATACATATATAGATATAAACATAAATGTACAAATAAATATGTACTTACTATATGTATAATAAATAAACACATACATTACACATCAGAAGACAGATATAATTAAGTACCTTAGCAATATTCTCGAAGCATTTTCTAAGATGGGGTTGCACTGCTCTTGGGTTGCGAGATTGGGATAATATTTCTAGCAATTCATCATCACTAAGGAAGAAGAATCTCGGGAACCGTACTCGTTTAAGTTCCATATATTCATTCAGACCTCGTGATACAACAGCCAGTACATGACGAGCTTCAACCAGGCTGTCTAGAAGACGGCTATCCGGACATATAATCATTATCTATAAACAAATTAAATATATTAAGAGTAGTTATAAAACTAAGGCTACATTTAAACATGCTTATTTTAAGCAACACTTGGATACACATGCTAGTAAATAGCGAGTGCTCAATTAAAGCATGCTTTTATGCTTGAAATAAGCATGTGTAACAGTTGCCTAATATTTAAAACATTTCACATGTTAGAATATTAACAAGCATTTAAAAAATATTATTAATATTTAAACTGTGCTACACGTGACTAAATATCGTGTGTATAACGTTTAAAACTCGTTTGAAAGTTTGCCAAATACAGTTAGGAAAATAAACCTTTGGACATGCTGCTGCCGATGACATAATTCGTCTTCAAGCGATAATTGTCGCGATATATCTTCAGAAATAAATATTGGCTCTAAATACATCCACTCCCTTTAAATAATATTGATTATGGTACACAATGTATGCAATATAATAACATATATAAAGAAATACTTCAAAACATACTTTTGACATACAATCCATTCGTCAACAACGTTTTGTGTAAGCCGAAGCTTATCATCCCATTCCTGTATTCGTAGCTCGATAGCTGCTTTTAAAGGACTGAATCCTAATTGTTGTGTAATTAAAAGATGTTCATCCAATAGTTAGAGAGTTTCATCAGCAATCTTCATTATAAACGTGCCTGTAATTAGATTATAAACGCTTGATAAATATTTAAATAAATTGTAACTTTATTAATTCTCAACTGGAGTGCTACATACACAGTTCTGCTTAGAAATAATTTAGAACAATTTATTTAATTACCTATCTTAGAAATTAGTCCAACACAAAATAATGACATGAGGCTATATACATTCGAATGTTCTACCAGTGTTTTTATATGGAGACACTTCCATCGTCTTGGCCGCCCAGTCGTTAAGCATTTTATCGAGTGCCTGTTCTATCACGTACTCCTTGCTGGCTAGTTCACCAATTTCAGCTATCAATTCAGCATGTTGAGCCACTCCTTGCTTCAGACACATTGCGAACGTCTGTTTCTCGTTCATTGTTACTGTTATACCTATATTTCGATATTCATATTATTAAAACAATAATAATTTTCGTTCAAAATTTTATTTGAATTCAACCAGTTATTTTATATATTTGATATTTGTGTGAAAAAAGTGGCACATTAAATTTAATTTCAAGAATAAAACTAAGTCAATCATAAGGTTCTGGTGCTTCAATTTGAAAACCTCTTGATATAACGAAAGAATACGAAGACATTAATGTATAAAATAAGTAAAATAATATCATTTAAACAAAAAGAACGGTGTTTCTTTTAAAACTATAACTTTATTACAACTCAACTAGTGGATTTTTTTACCAAAGATAATTTGTATTGCTTTTAAATGTGAGGCATAATATTTTAAAATACATTCGAAATACAGCTGGTAGACGGAACGTTCCAAAATAACTTATGTATGAATGTTACAAACCAGCTTTTTCCATGAATTCATTCCAGTGTCGTTCTTTCATTCCAGGATTCCTAACAGCTTGGATAACTGGTATCAACGAGTTAAACTTTTCCATATCATCCTGTTAACAAAGGTATAATAATATTATAGTAATATTGTCAATAAAGTCACTAAACACATTGAAATCAGGTCCATATATCTTTATAATATAATTTACCTATTTTGTTTGTAAAATTGTGTAAAACATTATAATAAAATATAAACATAAAATATATTTTAATTATTAGTTACTTCTATTTATATAACTTCTAAAATAAGTGAGATGATTCAATAATTTTATCCTGAAAAAACCCACGGCTACATATACATAGGTTGTTAATTAGGTATATGGAAAAGTAATATGGGCGAAAAAAGGCCGGGGCAGATGTTTATGACTAAAATTAAACTATTATCAAAATAAGTTAGAACAAAAGAAATTCACAAGGTTGTCAAACTAAATATAAGGTTTTAATTTAAAATAATATCCATGGAATAAATACTAAATATAATGAATTTCTTGGTTTCTTCGTGAATCGGTTTTTTTAGTTTTTCAAGCGCTTTTAAAAAACTATTTATGGCCTCAATTTTTTTTATGGTTCCTTAATCAGCTCAATAACTTACGTCAAGCCAGAAGCATATAGTTAGGATCCGATTGTATATGTAAGGAGTGACTTGATAACAATTCTAAGGAGTAATTGGATGGCGTTTGTTTAATCACGGATCTAAAATTGAATGTTGTTACTTAGTAAATGTAAAATTGTGATAAAGTTGTACTCGTCGAACCGAATCACCAAAGAAATAATCTATATTTTCGTCTACTTAAACACCAGTTTTATCATGTAGTGCTAATGTATTTTTAGAAAGAAATTTATGAATAGTTGTTTTTTTTAGTAATAGGATAGATGACTTAAATCAATTTAATCATTGGTGATGAACGAGGAGAAGTCTATCAATAAAATATATATGTATATCGATATTGTGTTAAAATAATAAAAAAATAAAATCATACCGAGTCAATCTTCACCCGAAGTTTGTCAAAGAGTTAAACGCAGCGGTGACAGTGTTTTACGAAACTTTTTCACTGAAAGTATGTATAGTCAATCTAGCGTCCACATCAACTTTCACAAACACATTGTTTCTAATGTCTTATTTCACAATTTATAGTTCTGATTACAAATGAATATCGATAACACTTTATTAATACAGTCCTTAAAAAAGCGAACTGACTTAAAATGCATTAGTTAGTCCATATATTACATAGTATTGTTTTTTATCCTATCACAAATAAATTACATCTACTCTCACGATATTTGCTAATGAAAATTATCCACATAACTATTTTCATTCAAAATGTTCAATAAATTTTAACATTTTCAATAAAGCAATTTTTGAACCATTTAACATTAATAAGTCACTCATAATAAATTTAAAATAAATATCTTATATACTAATAATAATTAATTAATTTATGAGAGCTGGTAATATTTCATGACGATTCTACCTTATTTTAGAAATATACCAAAGTTTTTACAAGCTTTAGGTCTTTGTTTTAGAAACAATGATTAATTATGAACATATTAAAAAATAAAAACGAAATTATGGTACACGTAATAAATAACAGAGAGATACAGGAATGCCTCTCTGTAAAATAAAAAGAGGAACAGGAGATGTTTAACTGGATAATAGTAAAATAGACCTAAGTTATAAATCAAGAAAGCAAAATGCTTTCCAAAGTCCAATGAAAGAAGTTAATTTATTATATTAAAACTATACACAGTATTTATTGTTTTTAGTCCAATCGAAAAATGTTAATTTTAATGTTGTACTGTTGAATTGTTTGAACACTATTTAAAATCAGTTTATGTATACAGTTTAGGACCTAAACATCATATACGAACTTTGGAAGTAAATTTAATTTAGGTTATTTCAAATAGTTGTTATAAATAAAAAAGTCTTTAATATTACAGTTGTTTAAACTTAGAAGTATTATATGTAGTATTGTTCTAAGGAAAAATATTAAGTTGAATAAGAAAAATAAAAATGAAACTTTCTGAAAACTATATCAATAAAACCGTAAAAAAAATCTGCGTGTATTGATTTTATCTCATAATTAAATTGCTTTTCCTTTGAAAGTTCTCAAAATATACAATGCAATATGAAAGAAGCAATGTATAATCAAAATTGTGCTTACAAGAACGTATTAAAAATGTGGACACTGCTTATACATTATCATTGATTTTTTATAAAATACGTGTTCCAGGAAGTATTTTTTGATATGGTCGTGACAAACGATGCTTTTAAAGATGAGCGCTTGATATAATATGAAAAATGTAAGAATTGAAAATAAATTGAACACTAAAGTTGTCAAACGTTGTTATATCGATAAATATAGTTGGATATAAAATCTCACTTGGGAAAAGGGAATAACAAAAGATATTGTATTTTTTTCTTCTTTCTAGTAGTATAATGCTGTGGTTATTAAAATGTATGTGTATAAAAGATAGTGAAAATTTTATTATTATTCAGAATAACTGTATTAAAGGCTTTTAAAAAAATCAGTATATTATATAGAACTCAGAGTTATTTGAGTTTTAGGAAGTTGATATGATATGATTGATGATAAGAAAAATAGATACCTAGAATAATTATTGAAGATCAACGTACCTACTACATTTCTGGTGCATTGTGATGATTGTGTGTTTACTCAGCTGTTTTTATTTTTTTATCAAAATTTTTACTTTTTTTATCAAAATTTTTATTTTTTTATCAAAATTTTTATTTTTTTATC